CAGGGTTAGGTTCAGGGTTAGGTTCAGGGTTAGGTTCAGGGTTAGGGTTAGGTTTAGGTTTAGGTTTAGGGTTATGGTTATTAGGTTGTTACTACTTATTTGTTGAAGGCATGCTTTTGCCGATGCGCTGTTGTCAGCGCGATTTCGACCTCACGGTTTTCTCACCATGGTTTCGTCGGCGCGCTTTTGTTGAGCGCGCATTTGTCGGTGAACCGTTTCCCATACCTGTTGGATTTTGACTTTTTTGACTTTTTGCAAGATGTGGCCTGAAAGCGCTCACTATATTTACTTTCTCACAATGCCTCTGTGAGTCCTGGAGGGATAAAGGCAGTGCTAAGGGGTGTGTGCGCTTTGCTTTGCCCACTTCCCATTGGACTTTTTTTGAATTAGAAGAATGAGGGCAGGGGTTTGTTGACAAAATAAGGTGATTGCTAAGGGAGAATTCATCAGATATAGAAAGAGTTTTTATGCCGTAAGAACCACACAGCCTACTTCTGCCTTACAAAAGGACATGCCTGTGGGCTTGGGGAAAGGGCTCGCCCATTTTAGTCTCCACATGGAAAGAGGAAAGAAAGCATCGTTCTGAAGTCCTGTTTGCAAATCTGGGCAAAGGAGAGGGGTTTGGAGAAGAAAAGTGGGAAAGGAGCATTTGGGAGTTCTACCCTGCCATTCATCCTCCAAAGGGCTCCTGTTGTGTCCGTGCCATGGCAACTGCGAGGTGTCAATCAACACCCACGGTTGCCATCATTGGCTGAGATGCGCCGGGAGTAGTTGGCGGGAGAAAGGCATGGTTTTCATTGGTTGCCGGTTTGATAGCTACCATATAAATAACTGTCAAACTGGGGAGGTTCTGTTTTGTTTGCCTAATGATTAAACAAGCTGTTGATTGCAGAGATTGCCTCAGTCATTATTACCTTCGCTGAATATACAATATAGCTCCCTTTCCATTATTTTTGCCTCTCATTCCCCACCATCACTCCAGTCCCATATTTCGAAATTTTAAAAGTTCCTTGGTCAGTCCTCCTGGAAATTGAACGTATTCAGTTGGTTGCATAATGAGAAGTCAGTGCAGTACGGATCTCGATGGAAGAATATCCCTGCATCACTTTTGAGTTACTGTAAGGTAGATGGCACTGCAGCAGCGTCCCAGGCTGGTGAAAAGAGGGGCTATCAAAACATCCAGGATGCTAGCCCAGAGGGTACGAACTGGAGGCATGGCCATTGTACACAGCTGGATGCAAGGCATCACACACCTGTTGTGGGAAGAAGGAGGAGGGGGTCATTTTAAAATTCGAGACAAACCTTCCCTATTCTTCCTTAGTTTACACTTCAGTGAGACAATCAAGTTGTTTGACTGAATCTATATCCTGCTTTTCTGCAATGTATCAGCTAACAACAATTATAATGAAAATGGAAAAGTAAAAGAGAACACAAAAATAAGGCATATGCCCAGAGATGGGTTCCTACCAGTTCGCACCAGTTTGGTAGAACCGGTTTCATCAAATCTACCGAACCGGTTAGAAGAGGTTCCACCAGTAGACCCAGAAAGCAGGCCACACCTACAGAAGAGGTTCCAAACTTTTTTGAAACCCCCCACACACACACACACACACACACACACACACACACACACACACACACAGACAGACAGACA